TTCACGTCCCGACGGCGCAGCAGTTCGCCGATGTCATGACGAAAGGACTGCCTACTTCTGTCTTCGAGGAGTTCAGGTCCAGTCTTTGCGTCTTCGGCGACGCTTCGACTGCGAGGGGTGTTGAATATATGGTTTGTGCATGTATATTGTATAGCCCGGCCCACCTTCTAGTCATTGTATAGTTGAGGTTGTGGCCCACCTTGTACTCCATATATACGTGCGCTATGCACCTATCAATATATCGTGAAGCATTGCCAAGCTCTCGTTTCCAACACTTACGAACCGGTAATACAGCCTACTTGAAACTCGTACTACCACACCTTGATTTTGTAATACTTATCGCTTAAACAGATGTATATGGACAGATTCTAATGTTAGATACATTCATTATAATATGACAAGTAATATGAATAGAAGGGAATATGAAGAATCTACGTTCCAAAAACCATGATGGTACCCGTAACTGATTCTGCTACGTCTCACCCTCGTCAATGTAACTTCTCCCTGCATGCATGCATGTTCGGCTGGCCAACAGGCCGTCAGGTCAGGTCATGTGAGTACCAATGGCTAGGTTAAAGAAAGTATTAAGAGTGATGGCTCATGTGACCTACTTGCTCCAAGTCTAACCCAAAGAAGAACGTCACAATAAACTAGTCTATAAACCTAGAGAATAAGCACAGTTCAAGGCTCATATTCTACTGCAGCTATCCACTATCTCATACTCCCTCCGTTCTTAAATATTTGTCTTTCTAGAGATTTCAACAAGTGACTACATAACAAGCAAAAAGAATGAATTTACACTTTAAAATATGTTTACATACATCCGTGTGTGATAATGCATTTGATATCTTAAAAAAACAAATATTTAAGAACGGAGGGAATACATTTTAACTACTCTACTGCATGCTAGCAGACAGCCAAGTGCCAGGTACACCAAGCTGTTTACTAAGTGCCTGCCAGGTATATTCCACATGTAAAGAATCATCAATTATAATACGTACTATATAGAACAAGTTTCACATTGATTTACCAAGGGTGTATTGTTCTGGACAGTCGGTCATTAACACTTAACAACAGTTTTGCAAGAGCAAACAGTTCTTACATGACACATACTGAGCAGTGGCTCCAGATTGGGATACGTACGTCCAAGCGGCGGCCTACATGTGTCGGTTGGTGTATTTGTACACGTGCAGCTAAGCTCTCGTGACTCGTGAGCGTACGTACATTACATTACATATGCCGCATTGCAGCTCCGGCAAGTCCGCATGCAGAAACAGAAATCGTTGCGGCATGCATGCAGCTTTTTTGCTTTTTTTTTTTTTTGAGGGAACGGCATGCATGCAGCTGAAGGAGCCTGTTGACGACAAATCCTGACCTGCCTGTGCCTGAGCCTGAGCCTGACTAGTCTGGTAACAAGCAAAGCGTGACACTTGGGACCCTGACGCCAGCTACAGCTAAACCCAAATCTGGGTCCGACGTCGAGCTACCTTTCCGGTAAATTCTCTTCTCTTCTCCTTCCCGTCTGATCCGATCTAATCTGGGACCAGCCACGCGCACGCATGCGTTGTCTCCTAAAAAATTGACTTTTCTACCCATCTAAACTGGGCACGGTAACTTATGCATCCATCACGTACCCCCTCTCTCAGTTTACAAGGCGTGCACGTACTCTTAGATCGTCAATTTGACCATCTTAATACAAGTCATATATTATAAAAAATATATCAATATAAACTTCATATGCTCTAATATAATTTTTATGTTATATAGTTTATATTAGGGTGATAAAATTGACAACCTATGTATACGTGTAGGACTTGTAAACTGAAATGGAGGAAGTACGTACGTTGACAAACACAAGCTGCCCCACCCAAGCCGTTGCAGCACCGGAAATTCTACCCCCTAGTCAAAAGTCGTAATCCGTCCGAGCCACGTTATTTGCCGTTACCTTTAGATACATCCGTTTGAGCGAAAGTTAAAGTACTCCCTCCGGTCCTTTTTACTCTGCATATTAGGTTTGTCTGAAGTCAATCTCATCCAACTTTGACCAAGTTTATATAAAAAATTATTGACATTTACATAACAACACCAACATCATTAGATTCATCTCGGAATATATTTTTATATTATATTTATTAGATATTATAGATGCTAATAATTTCTAATATAAATTTGGTCAAACTTAGCTAAGTTTGATTTTCGGCAAATCCAATGTACAGAGTAAAAAGGACCGGAGGGAGTACTACATATCAAGAACCATGATGGGACGAGTAATTGAATTAGCCACCTCCCACTCTCGTTAGTGCTAGTACTACTCCGTGCAATGCATGTTCGGCTGCCCAACAGGCCGTCAGGTCATGTCATGTGAGTATCAACGGCTAGGCTAAAGTATCAATGTTTAATAAGTGGCTGCCAGCCAGGTACATCGGTTCTCCGAGCTCGTCCCCCATCTGCTCTCCGACCGGCGTCGCAGGCGGCGAAGATCCTGGATCGGGCCGGGGCCCGGACGTCGCCTCTCTCGAACAGAAAAGAAAGGAGGAGAAGAAACGAGAAAGACGGAGGAATTCCACATAACATGTTAGGATTTTGATTAATTCTGTAATTAGAGATGATCCTCCCTTGTAATTAGCGTATGGTTTGCCGCTAGGCAGCCGTCGCGTCCGCTCCTCCCATCCCCACGAACAGACGCGTCTCCTCTTGGCATCTGTTCCCTCCCTCTGTATAAATGTGTTGATCATCAATGGAATGAGACGGTTCGATCGATTCGTTCTTTCACAGAACAGATGAAGAAGCATCAAGTGTAATATATATAAAGAACAACAGTTTACAAAGTTTCACATTAATTAATTTACCTAGGGTGTAAAGTTGTGGACACTTAACAACAGTTTTACAAAGAGCAAAAAGTTCTTACCTGACACATAATAACGGACAGTAACCTTTTTCTCAACAAAAAGGGTATCTATCTATCTATCTATCTGCCACTGACGCGAGCTAAACTGAAATCCTGCGTGCATGGCTGTCCCAGACGTACGTCGAGGCATCTTCCGTCCGTCCGGGGCCACGTGCATGCATGCACCACCCGTCCCCGCCCGACCCTGCCAGAGTTGACTTTTCTATACATCCACCTGGCCACTGGATAAAATGTTTTTCCCCCGTAGAAACTGAATTTATCCGCTGGAACAATTTTCTAATAAAATTAAGGGTAATATCTATCCCTCAACCAATTCAGAAAATTTGCCCAATTTTCTAATAATAATTTTAGGGCACCTGTTAAAATAACAGATTGGATCAGTCCGTTCTTTTTCCTTTTTGCTCCCTGTGTGATCCCCTGGTGTTGCAAATTGTGTAGGTGTTGTAATTTTGGAGTAAAACTTTTCTCGTATAGTAGGGCACCTATTGGAGCGGCGTTTCTGCTCCCTGATCCTGCCTTATTTTTAGAGAACCTATTGGAGAGATGCTTTGGGCTGACTTGTTTTTCGGCTATTTTTATAGTGACGTATTTGTGTCTATTACTCCCTGCATTCCCTAATAGATGACTTTTTAGCTATTTGAAAATATTGTCTACATGCACACTAAAATGAGTGAACATAACATGTTAAAATGTGTCTAGTAGCTAGATACTCCCTCCGTTCTTTTTTACTCGGCGTATAAGTTTTAGTCAAAGTCAAACTACACAAAGTTTGACCAAATTTATATTAAAAAAATATGAACATCTACAATACTTAAACTATATAATATGAAAATACATTTCATGGTGCATCCGAAAATGTTGATTTCATATTGTGATTGTTGATATTTTTTAATATAAACTTAGTCAAACTATGCAAAGCTTGACTTTGACCAAACCTAATATGCAGACTAAAAAGAAACGGAGGGAGTACATTAGGAAACGGTGGGAGTACAAACATATGATACACAATTTACGTACGCATCAAAAAAAAATAGTCCACTAACCAGTAGTAGACACTTAATTGTAGAATTAATTCAAGCAGCCCACCTACCTAACCATTCAGGCGCACCGAAAACCATGATGGGACGAATACTTAATTTTGGTCCATCTCACCCTATCTTTAATGCAGCTACTCCTTGCTTGCATGCATGTTCACTTGTCGAACAAATTAAAGCATCCATGCATGCCGTCAGCGTCAGGTCATGTATATGTACCATCCAATTCTATGCATGGTTAGGTTATAATAGTACCAATGGTTAGGTTACTCTAACCAAAAGAGGATCCTCACAAATAAACTAGCTAGCGTGTAAACTTTGCATCCTAGAGAATAAACACAGTTCAAGCCACATATTCTACTGCAACTATCCAGCCAGCATCTCATACAATTTAACTACTACTACCTGACAGCCAAGTGATAGGTAACCCAAAGCTTTTTAAAAACTGAGTGCCAGGCACATTCCACAGATGAAGAAGCAGCCCCTGATACATTTATGCATGCATGAACTGGGAAATACTGTATAATATATGTAGAATAACATTCACATTTACCAAGTGTAAAGTTCTTGACAGTCATCAACATTTAACAAGAGCACAAAATTCTTACATGACACATGCTGGACAGTAACTTTTTTTAGACAAAAATGGTAACTCCAAAAGTATCCTCAAAAAATAAAAAGGTAAATTCCCACGCCTTTTAATTTACCGTGCCTCTACGTACAGTGTGGTGAAGATGTGTGACATGTACATCATGTATACGCCGCCCATATATATATATATATGTGCACCAGGAATAATAACAATAATAACAATAATGGAAATAATTTAGGGTTGTTGGATTGGGTTGGATTGGAAGGAGCAAAAGTAAATTTTCTGTGTAGGGTTTTTACCTAGCTAGCACCGGCAGGCAGGCAGGCAGGGGGTATCAATCGATCGATCAAGTGGGCATGCATGTGGAGATGTAGATCCGTATGGGCACACGAGAGATCGAGATCGGTACCACCTGGGCTTTCTTGGTTTGTAGCGCTAGCGTCGTCGTCGTCGTCTTGCTCGATCATCACTGGACCATGGCCAGGAATGGCGTCCCGCTTGTCGCCGGGGCAGATGTAGGCGCCGCGTTGCCCGCCGGCGGGTTGCCGCTGCCGTTCGCTGCGTTGGGCCGGACGACGTTGTGGTTGTGGTTGTGGTTCTGATGTTGTTGCTGCTGATGCTGCCTTTGGAGGAAGTGGGCGTCGTACTGCGCCGGCGGCATGTTGATGTTGCGGCCGCCGGGGACGCCGACGGCGTCGTCTTCCTCGTCGTCGTCGTCGTCGTCGTCGTCGAAGTCGTCCTCCTCGTCCTCGTCCATGCTGTCGCTGTCCAGGTCGTACACGTCCCTCCTGTCGTTGCGGCCGTAGCTGTGGTTCATGGCCACGGCCGGCGGTACCACCGTTGCCGTCTCCTTCGGGATAACTTCTTGCTTGGATTCCTTCAAGAAAGATACATGGCATCGATTAGAACGGATCGTATAGACAACGTGTATGTTCATGCACGCGTGCATGGGCCGAGAATGACGTACCAGTTTGTTCGTCGCCGTGCCGTTGTTGCCGCCGTTGCCGGCGGCATGGACGGGGGAGGGGAACATCGCCGCAGCACCGGCGCCGTTGCTCGCCTTCACTTGCATGGCCGCGCCGTTACCGTTCCCATGGCCGTTGCCGTTGGTGATCGAGCTCTTGGCCCCGTGCTCGACGTGCTGCGCCGCAGGAGGTGGCGTCTGGGAAGACAGCGGCACCGGCGAGAGCACGGTGACCGGCGCATGGACGACGGGGGAGGAGGAGGAGGAGGATGCGAGCGCCTTGGTGCGGTAGAGCGCGTCGAGCTGGTGGAAGTAGGGGCAGGTCTTGGAGTCCTCGGGGCGCTTCCGGCTGCTCTCCTTGACCTTCTTGAAGTACTTGTTGATGTTCTCCCACTTCTCCTTGCACCGCTTGGAGCTCCGGTTGTAGCCCAGCCGCCGCATCCCCACCGAGATGTCCTCCCACAGCGGGCCCTTGGGCGCCGTGTCCTGGTACCGCGTCTCCATCTCCGTCCGCAGCTGGATCAGCGCGTGCACCTCCGCCTTGGGCCACCGAGACGGCGACGCGCCGCCGGCCATGTCCACCGGCGGCTGCTCCGCCGCGTGGACGACGACGATCTCCTTGCTCTGTAGGTGCTGCGGCTGCGGCGTCACTGGCTGTGGCTCTGTCGCCGTCGGCGTTGCGTGCTGCTGTGGCTGCGGCGGCGGCGTCTGCGGTTGTGTTCTCATTGGCGTAGTCACGTTCGGCTGCGCCTGAACGGGCGGCCGTGGAGTAGGAGGTGCGGGCGCAGCGGAGGCGACGGGCGTCGGCTGCAGCGCCGGCGGCTTGACCGAGTTGACGGTGGCGGCCGGCTTAGCGGGGAAGGACGATGGCGGCGCGTGCACGGGGACGATCTGCCCGGTGATCCTCTGGATGAAGGAGACGACGGCGGCGTCGCGGGAGGCGGCCACGGCGCGCTCCTGCGCGAGCGCGTCCTGCTCGCGGGCGAGGCGCGCCACCTCCTGCCGGCGCCAGGCCTCCTCGCGGATCATGCGGTCCTGGTCGCGCCGCTCGATGGCCTCCAGGAGGCGGCTCTGCATGGCCTCCTGCCGCTCCATGACCTGCCGCATCAGCCCTTCAAAGAACCTCATGGCCTTGCCGCCATGGCCCCAGCTCCCGCTCCCGCCCCGCCTCTTCCGCTTCCCGCCGTCGGCCGTCTCGTCCGTGTCCTCCCCGTCCGAGCCATCAGAGAAGCTCGCGTCGCCCACCACCGCCGCCGTCGTCGTCGTCAGGCATGCGGCCGCCTCGGTAGACACCGGCTGATGCGTTAGGAGAAGGGGCGGCGGAGACGGCTCGGCCAGCAGGACGCGCGAAGGCGCCGAGGGCACGCCGGAGTACGCGCCAATTGTGCTCGCGGCTGGGGCGGACGGTGGCGCGACGGCCACGTGAGCAGGCGGCGGGTGGTGCGCGGCAGAGGCGCCGTGGAGCGCCTCGAGCTCGGTGAAGAAGCGGTAGGTCTTGCCGTCGCCGCGGCCGGTGCGGCCGTCCTTGGTGCGGCGGTAGTACTTGTCGACGTTCTCGAACTTCTCGCGGCACTTCTTGGCGCTCCTCGTGTGCCCCATCTCCGCCAGCCGCCTGCACGCACACACCATTGATCAACACCAACGACAACAAGAGTAACCTCCATTTGACCATCACTCACACAATACAAGCTCACTTCACTTTTCCATGATGATTCATCCCATCATATATAACCATCACCGTCGATCGATCGATCGATCTGAATTGCATACGTGCGCGCCCGCATGTTGCTCTCACGGAAAAGGCGCGGTTTTTAGCCCGATTAGGTGCGAGGAAAAGCCCCAAATTCAGGACGCAGATGGAGGGATTAACTATTGGGGATCCAAACTGGATCTGACGGGCGCAAATCCGAGGAAAAAGAAACGGAAAAAGTGGAGGAGGAGAGCGATGTGCGTATGGTTTTAAATTGGGAAAAATCGATGGATCCATCCGTCCATCATGCGTGCTCGTGCTGGTGGTCGTGGGCAGCAGACAGTTCTTGGGTGGAGCATGTGAGCCACATGAACGGCATCTGGATCAATTATCACATCAGACATCACATCCAGTTCGACCGACAGTGAAATTTCCCTCATGCAACAAACAATTGAGACATGTATGACGGATCGGGACGTCGCGTCGATCGATCTGAGCTTGGAGACGAAGCGTGAGGAGCTGGGATTGCTGAATTGGCATGGGAGGTTGGGTTGAGTGTTGGGTAACGTACCTGGAGACTTGCTCCCAGAGCGGGCCCTTGAGGGCGGCCTCCCGGAAGGCGGCGTCCATCTCGGACCGGATCTTGAGCAGCGCCAGCGTCTCCTGCCGCGGCCACCGGTTGCCGCCCGCCGCCGACGACGACCCGCCGCGCTCGCCCTCCTCGCCGCCGTCCACGCTCCCGGAGCCCGACCCGCTCACCGCCGCCCCCCCGTGCTGCTCGTCCATCTGCTGATGTTGCTGCTGGTGTTGCTGGTGCTGCTGTCCTGGCGCAGGAGCCGGAGCCGGGGCCGGCGCGGGCGGGCGGCTGCTGATGGGCGAGGGCGCCCCGGCGGGCCCGCGCCAGCCGGGCGGGGAGAAGGGCGGCATGTCGGCCGGCTGCTGCATGGCTCCGGCCCTCACCTCCTCAGTCGCCGCAGAGGGGAATTGTCTTGCGGTAGCTGCTCACTGTTGAGTTGTTGTTAGGCGGCGGCTACTGTGGGAGTGAGGCGGACGGGCGAGGGCGCGGAGCCATGAGCAGTGCATGCATGAAGAGGCTCCGCTAGTGGAAACGCGCGCGCCGGCCGGCACACCTGGCCTGGAAAGAGGTGAGGAAAAGGGGGGAGAGAAGGGGAAATTGAGGAGGAGGAAGAAGAAGATATTGCGAGGAGTGGGAGTGAGATAAGTACCAGCTAGGCTAGGCTAGGCTGGCATGGAGAGAGAGAGAGAGAGAGAGAGAAGGAGGAGAAGGAGAAGCTGCTAGCTAGTGAGACGGATGGATGAATAGTAGGAGTAGGACTGTAGCAGCTGGGAGGGAGGTCCGCACTAAATAGTAGGAGTATAAAAATGGCGGTGGAGGAGGCGCAGGGTGTGAATTGTCAAGTGTGCCGTGGGGATGGATGGGAGGTAGAAATGGCGTCCGTCCGTCCGGAGAAGATGATGTGGGGGAGAGGGACAGATGGGCGCCGCGCTGTCAGCAAGGGAAGGGGAGGTTGCGGCCCGTACGTCGTCGGGCTTACCCTACCCTACCATCCATGGCCTTCTTCCTTTCTTTCACCCATCGTCGTCCTCTTCTACTCGACTCCAGGACACCCACAGTAACTCTACTGCTCACTGGTTTTGACGCCCGGAGGGGAGGGAGATGACGACGATCTACGAGACGCGTAGGGGCGGTCCCAGCCGTCCGTTGCTGGGATCCGACGGGGTGTACAAAAAGAGTGGAGGCCGAGAAAAGAGCTTTCTTTTGGTGGATCGGATGTGGATTGGATCGGTGGATGCAAGGGAGGGAGGGACAAGGCCACACTAGAACAGCTGTGCGGTGGGGCCTGACGGACGGCCGGCGAGGTAGAGAGAACGTGCTGCTCGCTTGCCTTGCTCCGGCCGGTCCCAACCTAACCCCCCAATTGCAAGATGAAGATGATTCACAGGTCACACATGACACAACCCTCTTTGGACCTCTCTCTCTCTCTGGGTTGGGTTGGGTTGGCTTGGGTTGGGTTGGGGGTAACATGCAACGCAACGCAACGCAACGCATCGCATCCAGTCGATCGCATGCATGGTCCTTCCATCACAGCCACTACATCCAGCCCCACCGTGCCGTGGCGTGCTACGTACGTACGTACAACCAACCCCGTTTTCATCTCATGCATCTCCATACCATACACTAGGACAGCTAGTACAGTACAAGAGCGAGCGAGTGACGCATTCTAGTGTACGCCTGCACGCACGCCACATCCTCCAACTACCAAATGCTACCAATG